GCGTTGCACGCGAGAGGTCGAGTGCGCGCGCGTAGTCGATTAATTATGGCAAATCGCGTATTATTATAAATTTCGCGGCTAATTGGTACCTTTTTAGCCACGCGAGGCATCCTTTTAGCATGGTGTATCCTCGGAACGCGAAATTTATTCGTTGCGTTTGGGACCCTTCGTATATAAGAGCTATAATAAAGATCTTAATAATTTGTAATAATAACTGAGTGAATAACTTTACGAATTTTACACTAACTTACTTTTACACTGATATACGCACCATTATGTGATTTAATGAACCCTTTAGCTTTTGATGAGCCGCAATGTACATCGCAATGAATTTCGAAGAGAATTACGAACACCTCAACGCGATGACAAATGAATACTTCCGGCGCGAGGGCACTCAGCCGCGAATGGAGTTTGATCGGAGCGGTTGACTTTAAACGCGAGTTAATTAACTCTTCAATTATCGCCGTCGGACCGCCGGAACGGTGAATCGCCCGTAAATGAAGTGTTTACTGCCTGATGCTAATTTACGGTACACCTGCTTTCGGGAAACGCAACGAAGGCGCAAATGTTCTCTACTTTGTAATCGTTACAATTCCTTCGCGCTGCTTAAGCAGATTCGTTCGTTCTCAGTAAACAACGCTTATCGCGGACCAGTAATTAATGGTCACTTAACACAATGGTCACTGTTAATTATAGAATAAAAATTATTATTTCCATATGTGCAGAAGCATTTCTAAATCTACTTTAATCAAAATATATATAAAGATAGCTAATTTTACCAATAAGATAAATATCTTCTGAAAATATAATAGAATCAATTAATGAAAAATTGTTAAGATTTAAAACACTAACTGAATAAACGACACAACGCTTGGGAAATTTTTCAAAACGGGTTGGTGAAGTTGAAAACAACTGCGCAAATGCAAAGGTATCGATTGCACGTAATAAAACGGCGCTCGGGCTGTCTCGTTGAACAGAGTTTACAGAGTTTATGCTGCATTTTACAATCGGTCGGCGTATTTATTCGCCGAGCGAGAAGGAACGATGCTCATACGACGCTATAGTACGTCCTGATCGATTTAACGCCAAATGTCGCCGTGTTTTACACGCGGCAATAATGGTTGAAATCTATGTAGCCAATATTTCAAGCCACCCTTTCTCGCCTGCGCGTCCCCAACCCCCACACGGATGGCATTCGTATACCAACGACATGTAGCCTTGGTTATTGGTCCGCATATGGACATTGCTCGATATTTTATATTCTACAGAGAAAGAAAAGTATAAATGCAATCATAGTCGGCGTCTGTCGGAAACACGTTATTAATTCCCGGTAACGTGAGTAAATTTCAAGTACATTGCGCGTCTCGAGAAAGTTTAAAATTTTGCCGTTTCTTTTACTAAACATTAATAAAAAGAACAGAAATAAAGAATCGTCTACCTCAAAAGAAAATGAGAACATGATTCAAGTTCCGTAGTTAATAATTCAGTATAGTTTCATGTTCTACAATTAATATTTTGTACTTTCTCATCTTAAGTTTTGCGCTTTAAATATTCAGAGGTGTGAAATAAATCAATAGGTCAATGAAAGTTGCATATTTTGGAGAAAAGAGGGCGATTCAAAACACACGGAAGAGTGACAGTCCCGAGGGAAGAATACGATTCCTGGGTCCGACAGGAGAGAATCCTTTTGTAAACGACAGGCGTAATTTACGCGAGAATAGAGTGCGTCACGCAATGCGACGACTTCAAAGATTACTTTCTAACAGGTACTTGCTAGTCCATTTTTCTTCATCCCTTTTTATCCAGACGATCTTTTCGATATTCGTGTGTATCGCTCTGCGTATGATGCTACATCCAATTTACATAATCTGTTCGCAAGTTAATATTGCCAAAATGTTACTTAATTCACTATATTTATTAATTTTATATGTAATTACTAATTCTTTAACAAGAGATAGACTATTTAACGATTACGTCAAGGAGATATCAAGATGGATCATAATTTCTCACATAAAAACCATTTTTTATATGTCAAAAATATCTGTCACAAATCCCCAAATAAAAATTTTATTAAATTTTTCCAAAAATTAAGTGAAAAGAATAAAGTTTCTTTATAATAGAATAATTGCTGACAAACGTATCGCAGAATTAATGGAAAGAGTGATTTATGTTCATCTATCAACTGTTCCGTTAGGTATATATTGTATTAAATTTACGCTTAAGGATACCCGTTTTCGGGCGAAAGGACACGTCGTTGTAACACATGTGTCTTACGAGAGCGTGTTCACGAGCCTGTAATATTTTAGGGAGCCCTCTCGGCCCTCGTTCTTTAAAAACTAGCCAGTGCATATGTCGACGCAGGACGTAGGCGACATAATGTTATCAAGCTGTCCAGAAAGAGCCGCCGCCGATCGCCGCCACGGTTAAGGCCGGAGGACCTCGGGGGACCGCGTCCTCGCTCTCGCCCACTTCGACCTTATTGATATACCGAATAAACACACTTGGCAGCTAGGCCAGGACGGCTTTGCGAGGCAAATAGCTTCGGAAGAACCCTGCGTTGGGGGGGAAATATCGTTTTTTCCCTAAAGTCGACACCATGCTCGACGCTGATAACTGAGGTTACGATAAAAGTTTCAGCGTTTCAGATTATACAAGAGATAGACTACTTTCTCTGATAAACTTGCGCATAAATTAACAAATAATTGCAACTGAAATATATTGCTGACTTTTACTTCGCAGCTTATATATGCAATAATATATGCAAGCGTACTCTATGATTTGTTCAAGTTTAATTAGACGGTAGCATGTAGTGATATGTATTCGTATACAGTTGGAAAATTTGTGTTTTCTTGTTAAAAAAAATACCGGTTAAAATCTTTGTGTTAAATGTTTAACACATTCATGTATTAATTTAACATATTGCTCTTGTGTTAATTGACCTCAAATGTAAAATTATTAAAATACTGAAAAGAAATGTTAAAACAATACACTGTGTACTTTTTAATCTTACACAATACATATGTTCTATATTATTAGTAACAAGATTTATCTGTTAAATTTATACAGAATAAAATGTTGATTTTATTCTATATAACATAAGTGAGAGTGATTTCAAACCGCCATTTGACTTATTACATCTGCAAAATGTATAAATTACATTTTTTTAAATTCATTTTGTCATTAAAAGTATGTTAATTTTATACAAAATTTATTTCAAATTATTTTGTGATTTGCATTTATTTTGTGCTAAAATATTAAAAGTGTATTAGTGTGATCATTTAACATATCCATATTATGTTAAATTAACACAAAAATTTGTGTGGACCAATTGGGACCTGTGATATGTGTTATTCAGTTCCACTATTTCTAACTACGTTTTAGAATAATAAAGAGAAGAAATGCTAATATCCTTCCACGTTGTAAAAATGCACTTTATAAGACCGGACGCGCTACCGAAACATCATTTACCTTGTAAAATGGAATCTCATTCAGTCTCCGGTTTCACCCCCGTGGCTTTTAAGTTTAAGCTTCGACCCTTATCGACCGCACCGTGGATTTTGCGCACCTCGTCGAGTGCAGCGGTTATCCAGTAAATAAAGATGAATAGTTTCCCCGTCATCGCTCTCTCGCACACACAATCGCGAGCATGTGTGCGCGCGGCAACGAGACGGTTTTAAATTCCGCGAGTCAAAGCGATGTTTGACATGGAAATGTTGAGCGATGCATTAAACATGCCGCGCCGAGTGCTTCCTTCTCTCTCCCGCAAGATTGTAATCCCCCTGTTTCTGCTAGAAAGACGAAAAGTGCTCTCTCTCTTCAGGCCGTCCGGGGCCTGATCGTATAACTGATGAACTTAGGGCCCTAGTACGCTCACCCTCGCGCTATCCGAGCTATATTTATTTAGGTAAATGAAAAGAGCCACCATGGTTTCGCTAGTTCTCGGCCGCATAAATATTCGCGAAATAGCCTTTATATTCCAAATCCATGGACGACGCGAAGAAAACGGTTGTGATATCAAGCGCTCCTATTTGTATTGAGAATGATCAGAATGTGCTTTTCGACCGTGTTTCTTTCTTATTTTTTGTACTTGTCAGAAATACTTGAAAAGTCTTTAGTATGCACAACAATTTTTTTAATATATAATGCTTACTACTATATTATTTGCCATATTTTCATATTTAAATCGCGATGGAAAAGAGTATTTGATGCTTTTCCATCCTTCAAACTAGGAGAATATAAATTCGCAAACTTCGAAATAATATATATCGATATAGATGTCACTCCGAGTCATTTGTATACAAATCACTCAGAATTTTGTAAATTATTACGTGAAGCGGTAATACGGTGTTTAAATATTATAGAACAAATTTAAGTGTAAGCGATATTTTACATTACCGAAGCTGCCACGTCTGTACATAATTCTGTGGTGTTATACGCAGCTCCAGATTGCTTGCAACTTTGTCTCGATGTGACATGTAAAGTTGTAAATCGCTCTGGTATCATTATCGTCGGCGAATTGCGAGACGCGGAGCACGACAGGCGTCGCGAATCTCCAAGTCGTGATTGGCGAAGCAGTTGTCGTGGGGCACCTGCGAGAGGCAATTTTACTGGACCTTCCCATAAAAGGAACTCCCCCCATTGTCCGGCAAAATGACATCAAGCTTATTGCATTATTTAAAGAGCCTCGCTTTAGGACTACTTTAAGCCAACCGACCCACGATTGTCGGAGCACCGTCGCTGACGGTACAAACTAGGTTTCTTCTCACGAATGGATCGTGAGGGTACAAGTTTTACGAATTCGACGTTGCTTCGAGATTTAAATTAGCATGACGTTGTCACGTGAGGTAATTGATATTAAATTAAGTAATTGAAATTAAATTAGAATATATTACAATGCTGCAGAATTCGCTTAATTAAACGCGTTAGTATAATTCGCATTGTCCTCGCAAAAGTATTTTTTCATATTACGCAGAAATTCGTTTCACAGGGCTTTCACTTACCGGGTGAGATGCCAAGCTTCGCGTGCATACTACTGGGGCTTCTATGATCGGGGGTGGTGACAGGGGCAGTTACGGGTGGCGACAGGTGGGGATGTGTCGGTCCACCGCTTGTCGTCGTCGTGGTAGTCGTTGTGGCACAGGGATTTAAGGGTGATGTCCTCTTGAAAGACTGGTCCGTTCGCCACGAGACATCATTGTCGCCTATCCAGACTTTACCTGCACAAGAAAAGCCAGATAAAGTTAGACACATACGTGCAAACATACAATAGTCCGAGAAATACAAAATGTAAAATAACAATTACCTTCCTGTGAAATTATGTCATAAATATATACAAAGTAAAGCGTATTTGAATATTTTCTCAATTCTTTCTAAAACTAAAGTCAAAAAAGCGAATACTACACGCGTATTGTATTTTGTATTATAAATGAAAGAGAAATGTGCACCATCTCTCTCGGAGCAGGCGCCACAGGAATATCAGCGATGGAAGATCAAATTGCAAAAGAGGTTCTCGAGATAAATTCTATGCCCCGCGCGTGTATTAATATAACGCACACCGGGGCGACTATGCGTGTGCAGAAAATGGCTTCTCTCCCCCGGATAGAACCCGTCGTAATTAGCGACCCTCCGAATCCCCTATTCCTGCCAGTTTTCCCGGTTTTCCCCCGTTTCCCTTAATTTCTGGGAACAATGCCCGGCTCTGGATGTTGTTCCAGGCTGCAGTGTCTAATTACACGGGGGGCATACCGAGCTCTTCCTCTTCTTCCCAAATTTGTAAGAGCGATATATAGGGTGCACCGAAATGTTTATAGATGTGACGTAGGAATATCTGCCAGTGCCATTAAATGAAATGTGATATTGAGAAATTTTTGTTAAGTTGCCATATTTCATTTAACAACAACTAGTGCTCGCACTTAGCCAACCATTGAATACGAAAACGTTTTTAAAAATATTAATATGTAAATGTAATCTCTCAAGTGTCGTTATAAAATTCTTTCTTAAAGAAATTTATTGGATCCCCTTCTCGGACTTAATCTGTATCGACGTCGCCCGTAAATAAATTTATTATTATGTCTCACGGATGTTATGTCGCGTGCGAGGTCCCGAATATCCATGTCGTGTCTTTTCGAGCACCCCGTAGCTGGCGGAGATCTCGGATTTATGGAACACGCGAATACCGTATCGCCCCCGCATGCGTGCGACGTGACTCAGACTCGGTATTATTTGCTTGACGAATGATTTAGCCCGAAATACTTAGCTCGCCTTTCCCCATCACCTCTCCCCTGCTCTTCTGCCTTTTCTCGCGCCCCGCTCCCCTTCCGGCAGAATACTAACCTTCCTTCGTTTTATCTACTTCCTAACGATAACCAGAGAAACGCGTTGCTCCAGAGACAGAAATACAGTAACTAGAAAACGGTAGGAGAATAGGGAGTGACGGGTGGTTCAGCAGGATGCAGGAGAGCGGCAGATAGAGCGAGGGTGGTAACTGGAGCCCGTGGTTTCGCGAGAGAAAGAAAGGACGTTCTTCCTATCGAGAGGAAAAAGAGAGGCGGGAAAAGCGGTGGGGCTGAAGAAAGTGTAGCCGGCGCTAACTAAGGGCGTCGGCTAATCAATATCATCAGAGAATGGCCGCTGACCTCCATCTACCCCGCTAGAACGACTATTGTACGGTATTCCGCTTTTCCAATGAGCTTCGTGGGCGCGAATACGAAATATCCTCTGGAAATAGTAAATTTCGAAAATTTCTTTCACAACGTAGCAACGTCGCGATATTACGATGTTGTACTTGTTGTAATTATTATTATGAATACGAAAACTTGGAAATTATTATTTAATATAAAATTATTATTTCAACATTACAAAACCTTTTCCGATGAATAACTATAGTGTTTTGTAGTCAAGTTCAGTGTGTAAACGTTCAGTACCAAGATACTAAGTTCTAATTAAATGGTTTATTAGTCATTCGCGTTGGAACTTTCAGAGAGATATTAAAAGTTACCTCAGTGCTATTTCCACAAGGATGGCTTGCCCGAGGCTACAATTCAAACATGAACCATAGAGACTTCCTTTAATCTCATGGTGTTTGCATGGGCCCCTGATTTTATTCAACCCCACGGAGACAATCGAAATCAGTATACCCTAAAGGACTCGTGAGCTTGACATAAAATTGCACGCGAGTTTGTGGAAAATTCAATTATGCAAGTCTACAAAAATTATATCGGATATCACTGCGAGAAACTTTTAAAAGAATGGTCGATTTATTGTTGTATTCTTCGAACTTTTTAACGATATTGTCAATTTTTCTTAAAGTTGAGGAAACGAAGAAAGTGCATTTGGATAATTTCTTGACGAGGAATTAGGAAATGAAAAAGAGACACATCTAATCTCTCTTCCGACTGTAGACTCTACGATGGCTCGTTCATCGGCCTCATCTACGCGTCCCCAGCACCCTTCCTTTCTTTCTCGCCCAATGAGGGTCGTTGCTACGTCCGAACAGAAATCAGTCCGCATAAACAGAACCATCCATTCCGCGATTCGCCCCTTCCACCCTTCGTAAGCCTTGCAGAGAACCTTCCCCCTCTTCGTTCTTTGCATTCTCCCTCGTCCATTCGTCCAACCCGGCGCGAACTCCATTCACGGGTTTATCACTGTCCAGATAACAACGATTTACCTACGGGCGAACTTCTACGGCTGGGTTGCGGGAGGGTGGGAGAGTGCGTCCAGTGGGGTTGCCGGGGAAGAGGGACGAGGTGAGCCCCATGGCAGGACCGTCGAAGAAGGCGAGACGGGCAGCCACCTTGCATTCGGGAGTATTTCACTTTAACGGCCCTCCGGGGGATTGGCTGACCCCGACCGGAGACCCTTCACCGTTTCGGCATAATGGACCTCTACATTACTTATTCGTCCTAGCCAATGTCCTGCTAGCGGTTCCGTTCCCGACTGCGGCGCGCACCAAGCTGCTCGTTTTCCACGTCCCACCATTCCCGCGTGCGATTAATCGCGCGTCGCGGGAACAAGGATCAGGAATTGGAGATGTCGCAATAAAGAACAGTCATTTTTCATTAGGTAGAAAATCAAATATAAATACACGAATGCATTGAGCTCTAAATTTTACATTACACCAATAACATAAATTAAAACATAGCAAAATTCTTCCGAGAAAAATTATATAAAATTTGTTATCCAATAATTGTCCTATGATTTTCTACCCCCTTTTCTAACAAAAGGCGATGGAGCCACCTCTGCTGATTCCAGCTTCCGGCCAGTAGCACGGAAGAACAACACGCCCCGAGCAAACTGCTTTCCTCCCGCGGTACTCGAAAGAATTGAAAATTCCTGCTCGTCCAAGGGTTGAGGAGGTCGACGATGGAGAGGGCGGCGGCTAGGAGGACGAAGAAGCGGGGCGAGGAAGCGAACGCGGATAAAGCGTTCGATATAAGATTAATGCTAGAGGCCGCCGACCGGTCCCGCGCACGTCGAGGACCGTTCAGCCATACACGAAGGCAATGGTGATTCCTCTTTGAAGGTAGAACCGTGGGCAGTGGCCAAATTGAATCCTGCTTAGGACAGAAGAAGCGTCGAGAAAACGGGAGGACGACCGAGAGAGCCGGCCCCGGAGCCCTTTCTCCAATAAATAAATCGCCGGCCGTCCGTGAGTCTCCGATTTTCAGCTCGAACGTACGGATTAAAATCGACCGGCCGATTTGTAGCGACGAACGCCGAAAGTAATTGCGCGATTATCTTATTTCCGTGTTCCCTTGGTTTCGTCCTTTTCGATGCCTAGGACGCTACATAAAAACGTAAATATTCACGTCAATTATTTTTCTTGCCTGCGTTTTATATCATACGAGTTCATTCTTTCTAGATTTCTTCTAGAGACATACTAGAAAATAATACAAAATAAAATAATTTTGCTTTAAAAATATGATAATCTCATTTGTGGACCGACCACGTATTTAAAATTAAAATAATACTAATTCACTCAAGTATACCACGGTAATGCAATGTAAGGAAAAGACAATGTCTAAATGTTCCGGTGCTTAAACGAAGTAGATGTGAATGACCTTTAATCAGTCCATTGTGATTATCAAAAGAATCACCATAATTAATCACGATATCAATCACCAAAATGATATCGTTCTTGGTCGTCGCAGGTTAATAATCTTTATCGCTGCTCTTTTGTAATACGACTATCTATCAACGTTTAAACGAATAAAGATACATCGTGTAAGTCAAACGATAACTCTATGTACTTTTTCTCAAGTGGCTATAAATATGATAATAATAATACTAAACTGAACTCGTATATCCATACTAATGATAAAACATTTTATAAACTTTTACTTTGAACTAGTTAATTTTTTTCATGAATTTTTTCTACTCTTATCTGTGTGAAAAATTTGCCGTTGATGCCAAAGCTAGCAAAATGCTCTTATCTATATCGACAACCCGATTAAATATATGTACTATCTTCTTCAAATACATGTACTGTATTACGCGTTACTTCTTCGTAAGAAAAATATAGTTTCCGGAAAAGTACCTATAAATTGTGTTTACCGCACATTATCATTGAGTCATGCATTCGTATGCGGGAAATTTTACACCTCAGTCGTACTTGTGATAAAATTACAAATCGGAGTAAAGTCCAACCTAAACCAGTATTGCTTAATGACATTATACACAACTCCAACTTCCATAGACTCCTAAAGTTACTACCGATAATTATCGTAGCGAGAAATACACGGTTTAAAAAGATATTAATATCTTTTGGTATTCTTCAACGAGCAATTATTTCTCTATCCTTCCCTTTACTACTAAGAAAACTATTCTTTTAATTCCTCTCGTTTTCCTAGACTCGGCGAAAATTCGTTGCTCATGAGGTAAAAAGACAAAGGAGCAACGTTCGTCGAGAGTTTCCCTGTTTCTTGCAGGTTACCCTTGTCGGAACGACGATCGATAAAGCCGGCCCCCTACCCCCTCTGCACTCCGGGTACCTTAACATTCGCATAAGCTTAGTGCCCCATGATTCACACACATACTTAACATATCAAGAGTTTAATTAAGATTAATATTCCTTTTAATAAAAAACATAAATATTTACTATCTTTCAATTTGGTGAAATAGTTTAACATTAAAATCCTCGTTGAGCTAACAAATGTTAAATAATAATTCTGCTCATAAGTAAAGTTCAATCGCAATTAATCGTAAAAAAAAACAA